TTTCTTTTGCATTTCTTTCTTTCCTTTCTTACACATTTCTTTTTTCTTTCCTTCCTTCTGTCTTTCATCCTTCTTTACATCCTTCTTTCCTTCTGCATTTCTTTCCTTCCTTACATCTGCATTTCTTTCTTTGCTTTCTTCCGTATTTCTTTTCTTACTTTCTTCTTTGCTTTGTCTATATTTCCATCCTTCCATATTTCTCTTGCTTTCTTTTCATCTTTCTTTCCATCCATCTTTCCTTTCTTCCTTCCATATTTCTTTTTCTTCCTTCCTTCCTTCCTTTCTTTCTTTCATAGCTTGCATCATGTCCTTGATGCCATTTCTCATATTTCTCCTCAACATTCCTAGCTCTACCTACTATCCTGTAAATTCAGTCCATGAAAAGTTTCATTTTCATTTAGTTTAACTTGCAGAAAGCTTATTTAAATACTTGTAAATACAGTTAGCAAGTTCACACAGCAAAACACTGTTTGAGAATATATTAGAAATGTGAGATCCTGAGATTTCAAACTGCAACATCAGTCAAGATTAAAGGAAAGTCCATTCCAGTCCGGCATAACGCAACAAGAATCTAGTTTCAACCTTGAATTAGTCACGCTCTGGGCAAATCTCAGGACAAGCCCGGTGTGCAATTCGAGCAAAGAAGTCTACAATGTTTCAGCTGTCTCATGAATACATGCTTCAGTCATTTAATTACATTAAGAAGCAATTCAAACAACTTCTCGCTAAAAATCTGATAAACCTTGTCCAAGTATTAAAGAGCTCAACAATAAACTGGTCTAATTAGTGAACATCTCTTAACTGATTAGAAAAAAATATGTAGGATATCTTAATGTAGGGGATACAAGTTTATATAGGCCTATAACTTTCAGAAACTGCAAAAGAGTGAAAAATGTAAGGGGGTCTGAATACTTTCCGTACCCACTGTATATATATATATATATAAAATATTAATATATGACATAAAATAACCTAATAATAAAAATACAAAAAACTATTTAAAATAAAACGACATAATTAATTATACCTTTTATGTAATTAAAATTGTCTTGCTGAATTGCTTAATGCTTTATTAATATCTTTGTTATTATCTTTATAATATAAATTAAATATAAATATTATAATATTCATTAAATATTAATTACTATAATTATTATTATGTAAATCATTTATAATTACTATGTAATTTAATGATTTATATTTTTAAAATTTGGCATGAAACTTATGCACTTATGATATATATTTACATATTTATGTATGTATATACACACACACACACACACATCAGCATAAATAATAATAATCCACAACATTATGAAAAATAAAATATTAAATAATATCACACTATGAAAATATGCAATTATTATGACTGTATTTTATACATTTATACTATATTACATCTAGTTAAAAACTAAAGTTACATCAAAATGTGTCCACGAAATGTATGAAGTTGAAAACCTGAACCTACAGTAGCACAAAAAGAAGACTCCGTGACTCAATACGGTACTGTCAAACTTTTAAGACCGATCCAAAACTGCTCACTAACTTTTTTCCCACCTTTTCTGAGTGAGCAGACCCAGATACATGTTTAATTTCAGCAGCAGAAGCAGCAGACGTCTACTAAACACAACAATGATGTAAAAAATGTTTTGTTGGGTCTCAAAAGGTTAGGGGCATTTTAAATTGAAAGGAAGCAGATGTGTTGTCTGGAATCACAGCAACCAACAAAACACAAGTAATTTTAGTGTAATTCAACACATTAAGAGTGTTAAAGCTGTTTGAAGTGCCTGTTGATCATTGTTTGAGTATTCCCTCAGCTGTAAATGTACACTGAGCCCCTCTGCCTCCGTTTAATAAGATCTGGGTCTGAAAAACACAGCAGAAAGAGGGGATATGATGGATGATGTCATGGTTGCTTATAGGCTGTGAGATTTTGCAATGAGGGGTTGATTTTTACCACACATCTCAAAGAGTTATGGTGTTAAAACGCAAATACAACTGTGGGTGTTACCCTCATAAACCAGCTTAAACAGTGCGTGAAAAACTGTAAAGCGAGACTGTTTCTAGGTATGTATATTACATGTTATTTTTGACAAGACTAGCGGGCCGCTTACTGGAATGTCGCCTTTCAAAACAAGTTTGCAGAGGATTACTATGAATTCTTGGAAGAAAGAGCGTGAGCACGAGTAAAGTCCTGCTGTGTTTCAAAGTGGTAATTGTCACTGACACGGTAATTGTTACATGACATGTAATTAAGCATCAGTGAATGATGACTAGCTTTAGGAAGAGCCACCTTACAAAAACAGATATAATGCTGAAATATCCACACATCCGTCAATCAACCTGACAGCAAAATGAACGACAAAATGAAATCCAAGAACTTCAAGTAAACAAACAGAGTGTTAACACCATTAAAGGGGTCATATGATGCTGCTAAAAAGAACATTATTTTGTGTATTTGGTGTAATGAAATGTGTTTATGTGGTTTAAGGTTCAAAAAACACATTATTTTCCACATACTGTGGGATTGTTTCTCCTCTATGCCCCGCCTTTCTGAAACGCGTCGATTTTTACAAAGCTCATCGGTCTGAAAAGCGAGGTGTGCTCTGATTGGCCAGCTATCCAGTGTGTTGTGATTGGCCGAATACCTCAAGCGAGTGACCCTACCATGCTGTGATGCCATGTCCCGGCCGGAGCGAAGAGACAAAAACATTAAAACCCATTATAAACGAGGCATTTG